CCTGACTTCTGCGCCACGTACCGGCGCTGCCAGCTTCTCCTCCTCAAGGTCGCCCCACAACAAGATTGCTTCAGCCTGTCTGGGGAAAACAAAACAAAACAAAAAACCTCAAACAATGGTTTCTCTTCCCCCCCCCTCGGAAGCAATGACCACACCGGCCACTCATTGAAAAAGTCGCTTCCGTCGAAGGCATCGGTTTCCAAAAAGAAATTGAGCCGACCGCGATGGATGCAAAGCAGCCGCCCTGATGGTGACGACCGTGTTCATGTGTGTGTGCGTGTGTGCCTTGCTTTTCCTTCAGGCTCTGCACGAGAAGCTGTGGAACACGCCGGTGCCTCTCTGCCCCGAGCGCAGCGGCACGGCGCCGGCGGCCACCCGACAGGTCGCGAAGCCCCAATGATAGCCGACCTTTTCCAGCCCCGCTGTGTGCGCGCCGCTCACGGCTGCGCGTGTGTGCGTGCGTGCGTTGCAGGTTGTGGAGGAGACCTACAAGCTGGAGTTCATGTACAGCGGCCTGGAGAGCAGCCAGGTGGCCGTCATCCATCACGTGCGGCTGCAGGCCAAAGCGCTGCAGCTGGTTCTCAGCGCGCGCGGCGCACACGGGTCAGTCGCTCGCTTCTGGTGGGAGGGACTTTCTTGTGGCCAGCGCTCGATAGCGCCGCTCGGCATCCGTTGCCGCCCGCTCATCCTGGAAGGGGGATTCCCGCCCATCTGCGGCCCCTTCTCGAGGTTTCTGATTCCCCCCCAAGATGGATTTTTTTTTAGGGGGGGGGCAGTTCTTCCTCTGGCGTCAAGATCAGGGGATGTCGTCAATATTGTGAGGAAGGCAGCCCTTTGTCATCGGAGCTTTTTTTCCACGTACCATCTTCCCCCCCCCCCAATTTCAATTTGTTTTTCAAGCTTTTATTTTTCGCAAATGCGACGAGCGTTGCCCTAAATGAAGCCTCTGAGCTCATGTTTGTTTCCAGGACCATCCTTCCTGGAATTAGCCTTCGCTCGAGTTTGCCGCGTGTCCGTTTTCCATTGGGTCAAATCATTTTGGTGCGGCGAAGGAAAATGTGTTTGTCGGCTTGGAGCGATGCCACTTTTTGTCTTTGTCGTCCGCAGGCAGGATCCCGTCGTCGGCGTCTGCGAAAAGTTCCTGCAGGAGCTGGACGGCTTCCACAGGTGCGTTTTCCGCCTCGTCGCGCTCATGCCGAGCGCCAGGCCGGCATCCGCGAGCGTTGCCCGAAGCGCCGAGCCTTGACGAGCGCCGCCTCGGTGCCCCCGCGCAGGCTGTTTGCGGCCGAGCTCCCGCTCCTCCAGGACGGCTTCGCCGGCAAGCTGGCCGAGGCGGCGCCGCGCCCGGCGTCCCGCAAGCCGTCCGAGCTGCTCCGGATCCTGGAGACGTCGCTGAGGCGGAGCGCCCCGCTGCAGCTCAGCCTTCCGCCTCAGGTGCCGCCCATCGCGACGCCGTCGCCCCTCCTTTGCCGCCTAAACTCGGCTTTTTAAAAGGAGAAGGCGGGCGGCACTCGATATAAAAGAAGTCAGATCACACCTGAGTGAATGAAATGGATTGTTTTTCTTCTCGCCGTGCATCTGTGCAGGAGAAGTGAAGCTCAAACAACCACTTGACAATTTGCCTTACTTAAGCACACGTTGCTTGGGCACCCCCCCCCCCTCCCCCCCATCCTTGGAACTCGACCAACACTATTGGGGTTGGGGTGTGGGGTGACAAAACAAAGCAACTAACTAAGGAGCTCTTGGAAGCCTGGTCACAGCCTGATGGGCCGAATTGGTTTGCGCAGATCCATCGAGCCACGGCCAACATCATCGAGCCCACGGGAGAGTCGGACAACCCGCTCAAGTTCACGTCCGGCCTGGTGGTGGCGCTGGACGTCGACGCTACTCTGGAGCACGTCCGCGACCCCCACAACTCTGTCAAAGTGGAGGTAAACCCACCCCCCAAAAAAAAAGTGTCCCACGGGAGGTTCCGGCCCAACGCGGTTTTCCAAAATCTAGCCAATGTCCCCCTCCAGGTTCTTTATCCCGACGGCCAGAGTCACGTGATCCACCCCAAGCCGGGGGACTTCCGCAAGCCGGGACCGCAGCGGCACAGGCTCATCACGCAGGTCTACTTGTCGCACGGCGCCTGGACGGGTGAGACGCCGGCCCGCGGCCGATCTCGCTTCGAGCCGTTCGCATCCAGCCTGGCCTCGTTTGCTTTCTAACGCTCGTCAAGTATTTTCCTTTCTGTCGCAAAGCAATATCGCCGATCGGGCTCCTCGACCGCTACGACCTGCAGAAAGCGCATCGGTCCACCTGACGCCCTCCCTCCCTCTCTGTCTGTCTGTCTGTCTCAGAGCCTTCTCAGGTGGAGTTGCGCCTCCTGCTGGCCTACAGCTCCTCCTGCTCCTCTTCTGCGGGCGACTCCAAGCTGGCGTGGAGCGACAGCCTGGACGGCCTCCCGCCGGCGGAGAGCGCCGTGGAGGGAACCATCGCCTTCAGCGACCCCGTCAAAGTCTTTATCATGCCCAAGCCTGCCCGGCGCTAATGCTAACAGTAGCGACGCCAAAGGACCGCCAGGTGCACGGATCAACGCCCTCGTCGTCGCCTTCATTCTCACGCGCACTCTCGAAATCTGTGCTCCGATGAGGCGCGTAACAACGACCTCGTGGCTTTATTTGCAGAGGTCATCCGCCGGAAACCATTTGGACGCGCTTGTGGCCGTGCTGCCGCGGGATCCAAACGCACTCGATAACAAGCAGCGGCCCGGGACGAAGCTTAAGAACGACGCGTCGTGGAAAGTGCCGCAGACGGGCTAACGTTTGGCATTTGCTCATTCGAGAAGCAACAGATGTTTCAAGCCAAATGGTGGCGCAGCACTTGTAGACAGACAACACAAACTTCCTGTTCAACATATGCCGATTAGATTTGCAGATTCTGCGGGGAATCGATCGTTCGTTAACCACCAATCTCATGTTTATTTGCATTTGTTTTTGGAGAAAAATAAAAACTCAACGTGTATGTGAGACCGTGAATGACTCAGGGTGGTGACATTTCCTCTGCAGCGTAGTGAGTCGGAGGAGGAAAAGAAGAAGTTTTCTTGTTTTGATCATTGCCTCCCGGTGGCCACAAAGGGAACAGTAGAAGCAAACTTGAATTTGTTCCGTTCTACTAAATGAAGCGATCACACCCAGATTTGCTCAAGCATGATATTGCAGACGGATGGGTTGGGGTGGGGGGTTCCAGTCTTGCTGCAGTCAGTCACCCAAGGGTGGCGGCGACGTCAACGGCGTCCCTTCAGCACGTGGAGTGGAAGACTCCACCCACATTGGCTCCGCCCCTGGCCAGGCGGTTGTACTCGGCCACGGCCGCCTCCGTCTGCAAGACTCGCACTTGGACGCCGGTCGCCGTCACACGCTCCACCGTGGATGGCGGCACCTGGGGGGGGGCAGTCAACTGAGAAGGAAGACTTGCCGCTTCATTGTGCTTCATGTTTAGGGAACGTCCCTCAAAGCCAGTCAAGACTCAGAAGGTGACCCGCAAAAACGTTTGCAAAGACCTCAAATTGCGACTCGGTGGAAACAAGCATCCTGTGGCCTCCCTCAGAGCTTGGAGCCAACCCTCGATGACAACCTTAACCTTACTTACAAAGCCCAACCGGAAATTGCACTAGTTTGAAACACTAACTTGACTCTGTAAGCCGGTTTTGAAAGCCAATTGCTTATTTCAAAGCCTACTTTGACACCTGAGCTCTCGTTTGAAACTCTGCTTTCAAACTCACACTTGTTTTCAGTGGGATTGCGCTTCTTTCGAAAAAAAGACAACGTTGTGCTCGGCGCGTCGGCCTCCTTTCGTCCGAAAATGCGACGCTGCGATCGCCGCTGGCTTGCGGGCATTCCTGCCTTGCTTTGCTCGCAACTGGAGCGCCCGCTTCTTTCGTTCATTCGTTCGTGTGCGTCACCTGCAGGGCCATGTTCATGCCTCGGCCGATGAGCAGCAAGTCCACTCCTTTGTCCAGCACCTCCTGCACGTCGGCCACCTGAACCCCGGGTCGGTGCTGGCGAGCAGAGGCCAAATCAGGCTTTGACACGCAACGCGGGCGCGGGCAAAGCGTCCGCCGACGCAGCCCACCTCGGTGCCGGTCTCGCGCCAGTCCCACGCCCGGCTGCCCCCGGGCCAAACCTTGCAGTCCTTGTAAGGCGACGGCGCCCCCTTCACCGCCATGCGACCCCAAGACAGCGACACGATCTCCGGCGACGACATGCTGGGGAAGTGCCGCGCTGGGCTAAAATAAACAAGAGGCTCACGTCACCAGGGGCGCCCGCCCATCGCGGAAACGAGCCATGAGCAGCTGGCAAAGCGCTAACCGAAATACTGATGGACTGGATTTTTTGTATCAAGTTAAATGGTGAAACTCGTCATAAAATGATCACGTTAGCGATGCTACAATCTGTGTGTGTGTGTGTGTGTGTGTGTGGGCTGTTCTTGTTGGCGTTGAACTCGCTTGGATTTGATTTGTCTCCGATTTCAGTCGTCCTCCATGAAGGCCTAATGTGGTTTCACTTGGAGACATTTGGAAATCTCTTTTACTTTGGAAAACAATGACACCAGAAGTCATTTACGTCTGTGCCTTTTCTGGACTGTCAATTCGACAACTTCATTCTTTTGGCCAGGTTTTCGAAAAAAGGTTTGGTTTTTTTTTCCGATTCGTTCATTAAAATATCAATGGATGAAGCCATTATTAAAATAAGTTTGTTGCCAAACTTCAAAATAAACCTGCAACTTGTCCGGTCCCCAAATGGTTTGTGTGCGTGTGTTGGGCGGGTCGAAACCACGCCACTTGACGAGTCAGCGCTCGGAGTTGAAAGGACGCCTTTTCGCGCGTCGAGGGCTTCCTGTTCGTGTGAGTGGAGGCAAAAGGAACCGATCAAGCGACCTGCAGAGGTTTTTGCTTCGTCGTCGAATCTTCTCGCAAGTTCAAGTTGGGTAATGGTAGGATCCGGAAGAAAAACAACATGTATAGTAATGCGTTTTTAGCCAAAAAAAACAACCATGTATGGGAAGGCGTTTTTAGCCGAAAAAAACGACCATGTATAGTAAGGCGTTTTAACCCGAAAAAAACGACCATGTATAGTAAGGCGTTTTAACCCGAAAAAAACGACCATGTATAGTAAGGCGTTTTAACCCGAAAAAAACGACCATGTATAGTAAGGCGTTTTAACCCGAAAAAAACGACCATGTATAGTAAGGCGTTTTAACCCGAAAAAAACGACCATGTATAGTAAGGCGTTTTAACCCGAAAAAAACGACCATGTATAGTAAGGCGTTTTAACCCGAAAAAAACGACCATGTATAGTAAGGCGTTTTAACCCGAAAAAAACGACCATGTATAGTAAGGCGTTTTAACCCGAAAAAAACGACCATGTATAGTAAGGCGTTTTAACCCGAAAAAAACGACCATGTATAGTAAGGCGTTTTAACCCGAAAAAAACGACCATGTATAGTAAGGCGTTTTAACCCGAAAAAAACGACCATGTATAGTAAGGCGTTTTAACCCGAAAAAAACGACCATGTATAGTAAGGCGTTTTAACCCGAAAAAAACGACCATGTATAGTAAGGCGTTTTAACCCGAAAAAAACGACCATGTATAGTAAGGCGTTTTAACCCGAAAAAAACGACCATGTATAGTAAGGCGTTTTAACCCGAAAAAAACGACCATGTATAGTAAGGCGTTTTAACCCGAAAAAAACGACCATGTATAGTAAGGCGTTTTAACCCGAAAAAAACGACCATGTATAGTAAGGCGTTTTAACCCGAAAAAAACGACCATGTATAGTAAGGCGTTTTAACCCGAAAAAAACGACCATGTATAGTAAGGCGTTTTAACCCGAAAAAAACGACCATGTATAGTAAGGCGTTTTAACCCGAAAAAAACGACCATGTATAGTAAGGCGTTTTAACCCGAAAAAAACGACCATGTATAGTAAGGCATTTTTAGCCGAAAAAAACGACCATGTATATATAGTATGGCGTTTTTTTCGGGAAAAAAACGACCATGTATAGTAAGGCGTTTTTAGCCGAAAAAAACGACCAAGTATAGTAAGGCGTTTTTTTCGGAAAAAAAACGACCATGTAGAGTAAGGCGTTTTTAGACGACAAAAACGACCATGTATAGTAAGGCGTTTTAACCCGAAAAAAACGACCATGTATAGTAAGGCGTTTTTTTCGGAAAAAAAACGACCATGTATAGTAAGGCGCTTTTAGCCGAAAAAAACGACCATGTATAGTAAGGCTCGGAGTTGAAAGGACGCCTTTTTGCGCGTCGAGGGCTTCCTGTTTGTGAGTGGAGGAAAAAGGAAGGAACCGATCAAGCCACCTGCAGAGGTTTTCGCTTCGTCGTCGAATCTTCTCGCAAGTTCAAGTTGGGTGACGGTAGGATCCGGAATGAACGTCACTGCACACGCCCCCAAATCCTCGCGGCGGCCGGAGCCGCTCCCGTTCTGCGTGAGCGAGCGTCTGACGTCAACCCGGCAGGAGCAGAAGCAAAGCCACGTTTGACTTGACAACTTTCGGTGCGCCCACCAGCTTGCGCCAAAACGACACTTTGTGCCTTTTACGGAGAGGTACGAATTTATTGTCATGTGTGTCTCGCAAATTACAAACCTGTGAACATTTGTTAAAATTAGCCCCTGGACATTCAATGATAGGACCACTTCATTGGAGTTCATGTTTTTGTGATCAATCTTTTTTTTTTAAACTACTGTGAAGAATGCCAGCGCTCATGCGCACCGCGAACAGCAACAATATGGCTGCAAACCTCAAATTCCCGTGTTGACAAAAGGCGGCAATTTGGCCCGTCTGACCGCTTGACGTGACGCGCGGCCGCGCCTTGGCGCCTTCCCAGAACGCTTCTTCCGTTACCTGGCCGTTTCGTTTGAAATGGAACTTTGGTAGTGACACTGGTCCAGGAAGCTCTGGGCCACCTTTTTTTTTTTTTTTTTGACAGCTCGATTTCAATGAGACCTAGCGGAGCATTTCAAAGCCTCGCTCACGAAGAAATTGTTTAGCCAAAGCCGCCAACCTTATTTTCGCCTTCTGTGGAACGAAAGAAATCGTCCCTGGGAAATCGGATGCTAAAAACACCTTTCAAAGCTTGTTTGTGTCTCGGCGAATCCCAAAAGCTCTTTCTGATCGATTCAACTTGGATTTTGGTGGACATTACAGAGCCCGGGCCTCCTTGGCAAATGTTTCCAAGGTTTTTGTTTTTTTTTTTGCAACAGCCACGGGCTCATGTGGCCCGACCCGAGGCGCCGGCGTCCATCTTGTCGGGCCTGAGGGCGGGGCCTTGCGCCTTGGCGTCTCTCAGCACGGCCAGCGCGGCGCCCGAGAAGGTCTTGAGCACGCCCAGCGTCTCCCGCTGCAGCGTCAGCGACTCGTTGACAAACTCCTGCTGGCTCTCCACCAGCAGCTGCAGCGACTGCGCCAGCGTCTCCAGCGAGCGCGACACCGAGGCCAACAGCTGCCGGCTGGCGCGCTGCTGCTGCACGCTGTGGCACGCCAGCTGCGCCAAGCCCGACGGCGCCGTCCGGCCGGCCGGCAGCGGGTC